GCATGTACATAAAAATAGTAACTCTTTGGATACTGTTGAGTTGCATTCTTTTGGTACCTCAAGATTTCTTTATATTTTTGAATATAATAAATCACAGATGTGAGTTGTAAAAAGAAAAAGAAAAATGTATAACACGTGGAATAATATCTTATTTCCAAATATGTTAATCCGGTGTGTATATCTTTCTTCCCTCTGTCTTCCATTCCCGGGTTCTGTAGGTGTCTTTCTACGTTGGAACAGGTCCTCTAAGTATTTGGATGAAGCATATGAAGAAATGGTTAACATCATTGAATATAACAAAGAATTACAAGCCAAAGTAAATATCCTCAGGAGGCAGTTGGCAGAACTGGAAACAGATGATGGGATGCAGGAGAGTCCCTGAAAGACCTCCACTCCCCCTTTGTACATACCCTGCCTGAACTGCACCCCGCCTCTCTCTTCCTTTTGCCCTCCAGTTCACTTTGACACAGTAGCCTTGAACTTCAGGCTTTAGAGGTGGGACCCCACTAATGTAATGGACTTCTCAACTTTGTATGAATGAAACTTACTATACTTACTCGTGTTCCGTGTGGCCTGTCCGGCCCCTCCACTATGAGAGCAGGAAGGAGGTGCTAGTCATTTTATTTATCTGTGTGAAGCAGATGACCTACTTACTGCCATTTGTGTTATACACCATTTCATCGGAAGCTTTTCTCTGTCCACTTCCCAAGCAGTGCTCCAGACCAGTCAAGAATACAATTAGTCTCTTTAAGGAATATTCAGTGATTTTAAAAAAAGGGTCAGGTTTTTAAACATTCTGAGTATAGAAATGTTTTTCAAAACTGGAACGGTTAATAAACCAAGAATTTTGTGTTTAACATGCCATTTCCGNGGCCTTGGTGTTATCAGCACCGCACTCTCCCGAGTGAGCCACGGGCCGGCCCCCTTGAATATCTTTAAGGCATGACTTTGGGATTATATAGTTAACGTAGGCCTGTGTAGAGGAGAAAATGTCTTCTTTTTCGTCCATAATAAAAGGATAATTGTTGCTATTTGGGGAAAGAAGTAATTGCCTGCAGAATTTGAAGACTACTTCTCAAGTGACAGGGGAAAGAACTGAAGTTGAGCCTTTTAAATAACAACTTAGGTGGCTCTGTTTTTACCATGACTGCCACTTTTCCAGTCAAAGTGGTTTTCCACATGTAGAAGATTGTACAGGTCTGAGTAAAATGCTATCACTGTAAAAACAAATTATTTGTATCATGAAACTAGAAAGTTGATGACATTGTAAATTGTCAGCTTGTTTTCTAAATATGTCACAGAATGACACTTCGATGTATCTGATAATTTTGTGGGATTTTCCTAAGAAATTAGCATGTACATAAAAATAGTAACTCTTTGGATACTGTTGAGTTGCATTCTTTTGGTACCTCA